TTAGCTATAATGTAATTATCTTAATCTTCACTATCGTTACTTTTTGCCCAGCGAAGCGGGTCCTTGCAGCTAGATTCTAGATTACTTAGAAAAACAGTCTTTTATATATATAAAAAAAACTATATTACATACAAATAAAAACCCAGCGAAGCGGGTCCTTGCAGCTAGTATATATATAAAAATGGACGTGTGGGTCCCTATATTTCACTTTTCAGCCAAAACTACACATCGCACATGAATGGTGTTTGTATGTGGTAGTAGCCCCAAGTTTCCATTCGTGCGTTATGGTAGTTGCGTCTCGATGGCTATAAGGGCATAGGAGATATGGGGGCTTAAAGTGGTTGACTTCAAAGATTTTCTATTTTGATTTTAAAAATGTTCAAACCATTTTAAATTCAAATTTGTATTTGAATTTGAATTGGTTCGATTATAGAATGATTGTAAATGTTCCAGAAAATTGATTAAATTGAAAATAGTCCATTTGACTGGACATAAAAATTCTCTAATTAGTCTGGAAACAGGGGATCTAATTCTTGCATTCTGTGCTATAAGGGTGTGGGAGATATGGAATTGAAAGTGGTTGACTTCGAAGATGTGTAACAATGGAAGTGTTAACAGTGGAAGTGTTAACAATGGACGTGTTGAGTAACAAAGGAAGTGTTAATATAAAGTGGCATGCAAGATTTACAGGCAGTATTTTTGCGTTTTTGCGGGAAATCGAACATATTTTTAGACTCATGTAAAAATTCTCTAATTAGTCTGGAAACGGGGGACCTAATTCTTGCATTCTGTGAAAACAGGTAAGATTGGCTATAATGTAATTATCTTAATCTTCACTATTGTTACTTTTTGCCCAGCGAAGCGGGTCCTTGCAGCTAGTTTCCTTAAATAAAATCTTACTTTTGATTTATGAATAATGTAAACTTTTTTCTTCTAAATCTCTACATATGATTATTAAATTTTATATCAAAATTAAGAAAACTACCTTGAAATTAAGAATTCAATGTTTTTTAAGACATTTTTTGAATATTTTAATTTTATCATCAAAACAACTATTTTATACAAATTAGTTTGTCTGAATAAAAATAAGCATGATCTTGAAGGAGATAGGTCAAAAATATGAAAAGCATTTATATTTAAAATAATAATGAATTTTAGATATTTGATTGCTTCTTATTCTTTTTAAGATTGTTGAAAAATGAGCATAAAATTGCTGTGGAGAACTTATCACACAGGAACTCTTAGGTGAATGATCAGACAAACTTTAGTAACTAAAATATTAAAAAAACATTTCAGGCTTATTTGCCTCTCATCAGTCCTTTCACAGATCTGGAGAAATATATATTGTAGATGACAACTTACAATTAAAATAAATAAAATAATTACCCAGTTCTCACCTACAGTATTTATTTCTTCATATCTGTAAGAGATAGGACTGATGAGGAAAGTTTACCTGGTCTAGTAACTAAAAGAACAATTCAGATTTTTTCTATAGAAAGAAATCTGAATTGGAAGTGGAATGCATTCAATTCAATCAGACTATCATCCAATTATTACAGGAATCCCTATTCATTCCAACAGATAATCTATATGCCTGTAATTTCCAAAATATTCTCATTTATTCTGCTCAATGTTATCATAAGTAATCTTGTTTATTTAGTTAATTATTGATACTGTACTGTACATGATTGATTATTGAATCTCATCAGACCAGCTATGCAGGCTGTTAAATAAGTAATGCCTCCATGCAAGTGTTTTGTGCAGAAGTTGTTATCTAGCAAGCAATTAGACAACAAATGATTTTTTGTTTTATTAACTACATTTTAATGAATGTAGAACATCAAATTCATTAAATTCAACATTAAATAAAACAATATTAATTAAATAAATCATTAAATTCAAACTATAACAAGTTCTGATATAGTTTGAATTTAATGGTTTGAATAATTGAACAAAAACCAGTTCCAATTCATTTTAAATGGAGCACTGCATAGTGTGCAATGACATGACTTTTTACACATTGTGTTGTCACACACAACTTTGTGCAACAGAAATATAAATAGTTTTGATGATACAAATTATTCAAATAATAAAATTTTTGTTCATTTTGTAACAGTTTTATTCAGGAATCATGACAAATGCATTTATTTGATTAAATTCTGATAATTTTTTAAGTTTTAAATGTGAGTCATACATTGATTTGCTCACTGACTGATGGCTGGGCCTTGTATTCAGGTAACCAGTCTCTACTTCTTTAGATCAATAGGTTGCTGAAAAGATAGGTAATCATGTATGGGTTGGAAATGGAAATGGAGACAGAATTGTATCTAGTTATGTAACCTGTTTATTATGGAGAGAAATCAAAGGTTTACAATTCTTCCTGAAAGACTTCACAAATTAAAATGTTAGTTCAACAGTTCAGTTCCCTTTTGTGAGTTCTATCACTGCTGGCATAGATCTCTTGAACAGGAAGACATTTTGGTATAATCAAGAACCCAAATAAAAAGAATAAATTAATTATAAATTGCTGTCATAAAGTGCAATTATCATATTGTTAAGAAATTAATAAATTGATTTTAAAAAGAATTGAATCTAAATATATTATTAATGTAAATTTATTTAATATATTTAATTATACTGATAATATATATTTATTATTAAACAGGCAAATCTACGTAGGATGTTAGAATATATATCTAATGGACATGTAGAAAAAATAACAAAAATGTGTGCCAGAGGACTAGATCCTAATTTCCATTGCCCTGATACTGGAGGTAATATTTTTGTAAATTTCCTATAAAACTATAAATGTAATATTAATTTCATCAATGAACTCTGCTAAAGAGGATATTATATTTTTCTATAAATATGGTTACATTAATATTAGCATGTATATGTAATACAGGTAACAATACTCTCAGTATTTATACTTTAGCTTATTCGTGATTGAAAAAATGTGACCAACCCCGTGGCTGTATGTATGACATTTGCATATTATGAATTGCTTTTACAATATTTTATTTATAGTACTTCATTTACATAAAAAAAAATGTACTTCTTGTGATCTCCAATTTTTACATTTTTTGACCTATCCAAGCAAAGTAACAATAACTACTGTACTACCAGATTGAAGTCATTGCATTACAGCAACAATGCTTTCTGCCAAATTGTACATGACAAAGTTTGTCACAAATTATATAAATAGGGTTGCTTTGCTGCAAAAGTTTAAATATTCCCAAAATAGCAACATGTTTTAGGTCAGCCTTATTTGCTCAAACTGCAGGAACCTAACTCAATAACATATCATTTGTCATTAATTATAACACTTTATTGTTATGTGTATGATTTTAGTAATTTTAAACTATTTATTTTACATTTCCACATAACTGTAAAGATAATTTCTTTTGCAACTTATAAATTTCTTTTGGTAGTTCTAATATTTTTTGTTTTTATATCTTTTGAAAATGGGATTAATAAATTCAAAAATGATGAATTTAATAAATAAAAAATTAAAAATATCTAACTTATGAGCCACTTTCTTATAAACTTTACAGCTTTTTCTTTGAAATGTATATTTTATATAACAATTATTTTAATAGTCATAAAAATAATTTTTTCTTCAGAAATTAATACTGTTAGCTGATCATTTTAATTTTTAATCAATTAATATGTAAAATTTGATTAAAATTGCAAGAGACATCCATATTAGGAATCTGCATTTATTTCTCTTTAACACAATTTACAGAGAAACAAATGCATAATTATGGCATAATTTACATCAATCAAAAACACATGAAGCTAATGAGTATCAATAAAAAAAAAAAAAAAACTGATTTTCTCAAAGGAAAAACTTATCAGAAGATGAAATTTTTATCAAATTTTCGATTTTTTTAAAACAAAATATGAACTTTTAATCATACAAAATGTTATAGTGCTTGTTGAAAGATTCACAATAATCAATATTGACATAAGCTGGAATTAGACAGTAACTAGTAACACACAAATTATCTTATGTACTTTTCAGCAAATTATTCTTTAATCAAACTAACAGTTTTGGCCATAATGATCAAGCAGTTGAATGAATATAGTACATTGTCCAGGGATATTTTCAATAGTTAACATTTTATCTGCATTAATGGCTTCTTGAATTTGTATTATCTGTATATGGTGTCCACTGGTTGAGAATAAAAAGAGTGTCTTTTTAATCACTCAATATGTGATGCACAACTTTTTCAGCAAAATTTTTGCAGTCTTTGTCATGATGCCACTTGAACTTGCATCAAATACCAAATTTGGCAGTTTCAACCAACATTGAAACTTGAATTTGAATTTTCTGGTGTGTTTTTGAAATGAGATGAACATTTGACAATGGAGAATTCCAGCCATTGAAATTATTGGCATGACAGTGAATAAATGTGTTGTGGGATTAACTGATTGCACAGCTTTCTTGACTTTTCTGGAACCAACATATGCAAATGATTTTTTTTGCTTCATATTGAAGGCTTGATTGGTCAGCATTAATCACAGTAAATCAGCCACTGTTAATAAGGTTTCAAATTTTTTGCCAAAGTCATGAGCTTTATTTTCCAATTGGTAAGAGAAACATGAGTAGCTTTCAAGAGAAAGGTAGTGATTTTGTCTTGAAAACTATAATATAATGCTGTATGTTATACTTTTCTTATACTGTAATTTATAAAAGAAAGCATAAAATTCTAAACTGTTGTAATGTTTTATTTAAATACGATTGACAGCCTGGGTAACATCCTAATGGTGTGTTACATAAACATTAGTGTTATTGCCAGTTAGTGCCAGGCCTGGACTTTACATGAGTGATGAATAACAAAAAATTGTTAAGAAATCAAAAGCCCAAAATAATTACTATATATTACACAAAAATATCTATTAGTCTAAGCTTGAATATGTACAATAATGAAATAAGTTAGTGAGAAATTCAAAAATAATAAAAAGACAAGTAAAACAGAAAAGCCATATTTGGGACAAGACTATGTCTCAGAGATTCACTACTAAGCGGAATCACTTTGATGCTTAAGGCGGATCTCGTTCTCATTCTCCAATCTTTGGTATTGCTGGTTTTGAGTGCAATCTTTCAAACTTTGCCGGCCACGACCACGAGGTTTTCCATGATACATTTTTGGTGAAATTAACCTATCCAATTTTGAAATTTCTCAATGTTGCGTGTCACTCCAGGTTGAATTTTTGTCAATGCCTAACGAAAATTTCCTGTTTTTGAAAAAAAATAATCCTGGCTATCGTATCATCCAAAATTATTTTTTTATTTTGCACAAACCACAAACAATATATATATATATATATATAAATGTAGAAAAAAAACAAATTATATTTAGGAAATTAGTTTTATTAGTTTTAATATAAAATTATAACAACTAGCACCATCTACTTTGAAAAAAGTTTCTGATGCTAAAATGAGATATCTCAGGTCAGCCAGTGAAGGTCAGCACATGACCATAGATATGTTGGGAATAACACGGAAAAAGGTAAATGGGTTTTTTTAAAGATTCGTTTGAAAAAATTCGATTTCTCATTTTGAACTTACCAATGCATGCGTTTGTCAAAATTTGATTTCTCAACATTTGCATTTCTAACTTTTCAATGAGTGATGCATGCGCAAATCTTGCGCTACTGCCTGTTTATAGTGTGTCACCATTTTGAATTTTATTTTGACTCTGTTCTTGGTTCCCTGAGTACCTACAAGTCTGGTTCTTTTTATGCATGCGTGATTTGGGCAACTAATACTCTGTGCCAAATTGCAACTCCTGACATGTTACATACTTAAAAAAATAGCACCACTTTTTTCTAATTGATCTTTTGTTTTTGGAAATTTCGGTAGTTCATACCTCTAAGCTGGTTACCCAGCAGGCAGTACAATTTTATAAACAAGACATAGTCTTGTCAATAATTTATCAAATCCAAAAAAACAAATATGTACAATAAACTTTTCTCACAATTGGGGGCTTAAATTATAACTATCTTATACTTATCTCCACAAAACTGACAAGAGAAAATTGAAATATATCAAAATTTACAATAAATCTTACAAATAAAGTTGCCTAACTGTCACCAAGATACTTCTACATCATCAATGGTATTTGAAAGTCTTTGTTTAACCTCGTTAGCAGCACCTTGTTTGATTCTTAGTTTCACCTCTTCTTATAGTGCAGTTGTGGTGACATTACAAAATTATGCCCACTCAACCCAATTTACATACTTAAATAGCTAACGTTCTGTAATTCTAGTAATCTTTGTTAAGTCATGTCATCACCCTTACATTTAATTGTTTCTAAAATTTTGTGGTTTCTTTTTGGGTGACAATTTGGGGTGGGAGATCATTCTGTTAACTTCCTGAGGAGGTCTTCCCCCAAAATGTTGCTTCAGAGTTCAATTACGTAATAGGTTGCCACCATCAGTTGTTGTAGTAAGGTGAGTTTGTTTTTTTTTTTATTTATTTTTTATTTTTTTCATTTTACCTGGATGAAGTGCAATAATCTATCTTTAATGAAAATAAAATGTCAACAATAAATAAGAAAAACAGAACCCAAACAAAAAAGAACAGTTCAGAATTGACTTCTTACTCTGTGTTACAAAATGATTTGTTTCTGTCATCTTTTTCACTTAACTTCAATGTGAGACAAACCTTTTATATCATTAAAATACAACTATTTCTATTCTTAAAACTATTGTACATATTATGATATATTTGCTATATGATATGATATGATGTAAAAATGATGTTCTTATATATAATTAAATTTACTAAGACATAAAAAGAATGATATACTATATATACATCATCCAAACCCGATATATAAAGCTACATACCAACAGACTGCCGAAAATCTATCGGGCTAGTTTTATGCTAATTATTAAATAAATTACGTAATCAATTTGGCACTAGAGGTAAGCGTTAGGCGCCATCTCTTATTAATATTAATAATTATAAATAAATTAATTAATTTAAATAATTTAGAACCGCTGGGAGAAAAAATCGGCCCGGAGCGGGACTCGAACCCACAACTCCTGCTTACCGTGCAGATGCGTTGCCAGTTACGCTACCCGGACCTCCG